ACATAAATATAGGATGGTTTGGCTAATTAGCTTTCATATAAGAAGTCGGTCGGGGTGAATAGCAAGTGTGATGAGGCCACACTCGGTTTGCCACAAAAGGGCACACATTTTTACAAGCGGAATGTAAACAAGTGAGAAGTTGTGATAGGGCGGGTGTTGGATAAGAGGGTAAAGAGTAGATAGATAGACCAGGACAGAAATAGAAGTGATAGTGTAACCGTTTTCGGCAGAACGGTTGTCGCTTTGACGAGTTCGTAGCTCGGTGACGAGTGAGAATGTACCAAGTCCACTGTCTGATGCTGGGAGCCATGACAACTACTATGGCAGACGACTTCGGACTAGGTGCGTTCTACACATTTCGTCCTGACAACAAGACCAAGTTGCGACAACGAGGTCAACCCACTTCTAGAATGTTAGCCACTTGACACACCCAAGCTTTGATTGGGCGACGCGAAATAAAGAGTCAAGATTAGTCACACACCCACGTGATTTCTGCGCCAAATGATGTTGCGCCATGGCTACGCATGGAACGTAATAAAAACCAAACATTGGTGTGAAAAGTGTGTGAATAGATCACACTACCTGTTCACCCAATTTCGTTTAAGGTGATGACAGACTGGTAGTAGAATTTTCCCACAATGCTATGAGTCGACCTGACGTCTCCATTGAATTTCACATAACCTTATTTTCCCAAAAAGGTGTGGACTGCAGTTTCTACTTCGCATAGGTCTTATTAACACACCAAGCGGGACTCGAACTGCGAAAGTGCTGTGCATGATCTCGACACATTATCCACTATGCCACGTTGCCACGAGTGCCCTTGGGCCACAGGACAGGTGTGGATTTCAGGGAAGACCAGGCATTTTCCCATATCACATTTTTTTTCGTTGGAGTGCCGATGAAGCAAAGTTCTATTTTCTATGAAAATCGACTACATCTCATAAAACTGGTTGACTGGTAGTCTCGAAAATCCGCATATAGACGAAAAGTAAGTAATGCAGTCGATTGTTATAGCAAAAATACGTTTGCTTCATCGACAATCACACCAAGGAATGTGATATGGGAAAGGGTCTGGCGTTCCTTGAAATTCACATCTGCTCTGTGACACAAGGACACTCGCGGCAATGTGGCCGAGTGGTTGACGTGTCAAGCTCACTTTTGGGAAGCAAGGCTGTGTGAAATTGAATGAAAACGTCAGCTCTACTCACACGATTGTGTGAAAATTCTACTGCCACTCCTTCATCACCTTAATCGAAATAGGATGAATACATCTCATAAAACTGATTGACTGGTAGTCTCGAAACTCTGCTTATAAACGAAAAATGCGTCACTTATTTTTCGTTTATGGGTAGGATTTCGAGGTGACCAGTAAGTCACATAAAATTAACATCTGTCATGGTTCAACTCCTGTTGTGTGTGTGTTGCTAAGACCAAGTCGAGGCTGGAACTGCAGTCCACTCCTGCAAGGCTATGCGAAATTTCGGTGAAACCGCATGTCTACTCACATGATTGTGTGAAAATTCTACTGCCAGTCCTTCATCACCTTAAACGAAATAGGGTGAATACATCTCATACTGTATGCCATGCGACGGACGTCATCAGAGCCAGAAACCATTATTCACTAAACATCACCAAAAACTCTAAACCAAAGCAGGTGGCTGGCTGAAATTCTTGGTTTACCGTTTTTGGTGATGGTTCGTGAATACTGGTTTCTGGCTCTGGCAATGTCCGCTACATCACGGACGAAAGCTCAGCACGGAGTCATCGGGGTTTGTAGGACGATGAAGCGAGGTCTACTTTACACACTTTTGACAGACAAAAGTTCGAGGCAACCCTCCTTCGGTATCTGGTGAAGCCAATCCACGAATCCCTTCCACCCACCTTCTCAATCGACATTTATTCATAATTTTGCTGGTTGTTTTTCTTGAAATAGCCAACTCGAAGTACTCATTATGCGGATGGAATCTGTAGCTTAATCGCTATTAAAAATACTAGTGTCTTTATTCAATACTTTGGTCCATCTTATCTTTCATTACTACCTTTTTTTAGGTACTCACAATCTCCTGAAACACTGGCTGCCATTGACTTCAATTCTGTAAAGTCGACTCTCAGGGCCGACAACATACAGAAAAAGCTTAGAATTCTACAGGCTTTGCGATGGGTAGGTTGCTAATTCTGTTACTGATGCATTTTACATGTTTTTCACTTGAAAGCTGCATAATTTGATGGTAAAAACAGGTACTGCTGAGAGCTCAAGCGATATAAAAGTTAGTGCTCATCAGAATCTCGCCAAATTTACATTTAATACTTTAATTTTTTTTAAGGTAGCGAGTGAGACACTCAAAATAATTGTTATCCACTCTGGAGAAAAGGAGGTTTTCTTGTTTATGTATCATATGTACCATATGTACCATATAAATTGGAATAACTCGTGACAGCTATGCCGGTCGTGGCAACACGATCTAGTGGCGAAAACCCAATCAGACCAATCACCAACAATGAAAGAGTGACACACTTTAAAGCTTTACATATTTGCTTTGTCATCTGTCTTCGGCCGGTATGTCTCATGATGCACATTCTGGGCTAACGAGCTACTTATATTTCGTTTTAAGTAGGCTATCGAGACCATAATCTTACATAACTGATTTAGCCTTTTGACGCTTCAGCATGCGGTCGTTGGTTAGCAATGAAGAGCGGATTATATGCCTACAACTTATTACCCACTTCTAGGGTGCGCATATTCACATAATTACTCAAACATTGACCCTTTTTATGCATTCCAGTCACCTAAAAACTAGGCATACATACCTCTAAAAGTTATGGACTTTTATGGACTAATCTGTCTGCACAAGCTTCTCCATTTTTTGTATTTGTATGCTTATTCAAGAGAAATGTGTTGCTTTTTTTCACCTGCAAGTTAAATGTGCCATTCTTTTTTGAACCGCGTTAATGGCATAAGCTCAATGTGGGACGAAATCTGTGATCCTCTCAGAATTATTTGATTTTTTAAAGGTTAAGCTTTTATTGTACATATCCCCTGTGAACACAATCATGTGAGAGCCCAAATGGGCAGTATTACTTGGCGATTGCCTCCCAGCTCTTGGAATTGTTTTGACTTTATAACATGGAGTTTTCGTGAGCCAACGAAGTGTAAAATTAAGTCATACCTCTCGTCAGAGGAATTGCTGGAAACTTTCGAATCAAGGGTCTTAAGATGCTCTCAATTATAAATATCAACCATTCAGTCTTTCAGGTGCTTTTCCTCCTTTTGTAAGTATATTTTCGAGCCTACCAACATACATCATATAAGAGCTGCATTCACTCTATTTTGTTTAATGTGATGAAGAAATATTACAAAGTAATACTAACTACTTATAAAAAGGAAATAAGTAATGTAATTATTATAATGGCAAATGCAAGTTTGCTTCATCGGAAATCCAACCACATATTTGTAGCATAATAAAGGCTTAGGCTTCCTTGAAATTTTTACGTTTGTCCTGTAACCCAAAGGCATTCGTTTCAGTTTGACGTCTTGGTTAATGTGTCGAGACTATACGCCTTAACACAGCTCTAGTCCGAGTCCCGCCGGGAGTGCTGATGAGACCAGCTCAGGCGAGGTCGAAGCTCAACTCGAATCCATTTGAGAGGAGAATAGCTTTTGGGGAGCAAGGTTATGCGAAATGCAATGGAAGCATGAGACCCGTCCATGTAGTTGTGGGAAACTTCAACCATCAGTCCCTCCTTACATTAAACGATATACAAATTTTGTACAAATTTTGTATTCTTGAAAATCGACTTATAAACGGAAAAAATAAACACATGAAAGCTTGACCGTCCTAAAGTTATGCTTGAGAACATTTCAGGCTCTTGAGTCATTTGCTTCCAGCAATTTCTCTGATGGAACGACATGAGTCCACTTCACACTAGCCCCACTAGATTCAGTTATACTGACTGTCTCTGTTGTGTGGCTTTGCAAGTAACTGTGATTTTTACATGTGAATGAATTAAAGTAGGTGATGAAGACTTCTTTTCTCTTCGCCCCAGTTGCAAATTCCGCTGTTCGGCTGTGCCCTTTCCGATTTGACGCCACGATGGTTTGGCCTTAGATTTAGTTGCAGTACACTTTACCCTAACTACG